CTGGTTGTTTGTTTGTGTGAGTGGTTGTGCGTTTGTTTGTGTGCTTGTGTTGTTTTGTTCGTTTGTTGGTTTGTCTGTTTGCTTGTTTGTTTGTCTGTCTGTCTGTCTGTTTGTTTGTTTGTTTGTTTGCTTGTTTGTGTGTTTGTTGTTTGTTTGTTGTTCGCTTATGGTTGTTTGTGTTTGTGTGTTTGTGTGTGTGTGTTTGTGTTTCTTTGTGTTTCTTTGTGTGTTTGTTTGTGTTTGTGCGTGCTTGATTGTTTTTGTTTGCGTTTTGTTTGTTTGTACTTGCGTGTTGTTTTTGTTTGTTGCTAGTGCCGCCACACGGCGCTTGGTCGTTTCGCGGCGTTTCAGCTGTTTTAATAAGCACTCGCGTTCACTGCGCCGCATGAGAAGAAACTCATGCATCTCAGCCTCATGTCGGCTCTTTTCATCGTGTTGAGCACACGCGTTCACTGTGCCGCATGACAACAAGTTCATGCGTCTGAGCCTCATGTCGGCTTTTTTGTCGTGTTTTGTCAAAGAGGTTTCCGGTTGCATGGAGTGTTCAGCAATGTAGAATCCTCGCACGGTGTCTCTTTGCTTGTCTTTGGTGTTGCTTTTGCGCATTGCTAAAGTACCGCCGCCGAGCTGCTCACCGGCTCTATCTGTTTGGCGCGCGTGCCTTTTTTTGATTGATCAGCACATCGATGTCTTTGCTGCTGTTCGGTGTCAGATCCAGTTTGGGATTTTGTGATTGCTGCTTCTGCCACGCCTGACCGTTCTCCAATTGACTTTCGTGCGCTGTGTGATGATCAGCACGTTCTGTGGTCTTCGTGGGTCTCTTCTCTCTCTCGCGTTCTCGCGGGGCGCTGCCTTTGTCTTTGGCAGCTGCAAAAAAAACGGCCCCAGACATGGTGTGTTCTGATTTGCTCAATGTTTGCGCACAACCCAAATGGAGCCCAAATAGAGATGATGTCAAATGAAGGGTGTTTTCTCTGAAACAAAATTCGCTTGGGGAATTCTAAAATCACAGTTGTCCATTGAGAAAAGCTGAAATCATTGGCAGGCACATGGAAATCAAGAAGGGTGAACCTTGAAAATCACCAGGCGCTTCATGGCGCGATGACCTTGTTTGTTTGCATTTGTTTGTTTGTCTGTCTGCTTGTTTGTTTGTTTGCTTGTGTGCGTGTGTGTGTGTGTGTGGTTGTGTGTTGGTTTGCTTGTTTGCTTGCGTGCTTGCTTGCTTGTTTGTTTGAGCGTTTGTTTGTTGATTGTTTTGCTTGTTTGTTTGATTGTTTATTTGCCTGTGCGTGTGTGTGTTTGTGTGTTTGTTTGAGCGGTTGTTTGCGTTTGCTTGTTTGCTTTTGTTTGCTTGTTTGTTTGTGTGCTTGTTTGCTTGCTTGCTTGCTTGCTTGCTTGTTTGTTTGTTTGTTTGTTTGTTTCAGTGTTTGTTTGTTTGTGTGGGTCTTTCTTTGTGTGCTTGTTTGCTTGTTTGCTTGCTTGCTTGCTTGTTTGATTGTTTGATTGTTTCTTGTTTGTTCTTGTCTGTTTTTGTTTGTGTTTGCTGGTTAATTTTCGATTTGGGTTGTTTTTGGTTTGTTTGTGGTTGCGTTTGTTTCTTTGCCCGCTGGTTTGTCTACTTGTGCTTGTGGGTTTGTGCTTTGTGTGCTTGTATGGCTGCGCGTTTCTCCGTTTGTGTGTTTGTTGGCTTTCTTGTTTGTTGGTTGGCTTGTTTGTTGTTTGTTCGTTTGTTTGGCTGTGTTTCTTTGATTGTTTTTCTGTGTTGGTTTGTTTGTTGGGTTGATTGCTTGCTTGTTTGTTTGGTTGAGTGATTGAATTGTTTGTGTTCGTTGGATTGTTTGTTGGTTTGATTGTTTGCTTGTTTGTTTGTTTGCTTGCTTGACTTTTGTTTGCGTTTGCTTCTGTTTGTTTGCGTTTGGTTCTGTTTGTAGTTGCGTTTGTGTGTGTGTGTTTGCGCGTGCTTGCGCGTGTCTGTGTTTGTCTTTTGTTTGTTTGTTGCTTTGTTTGTCTGTGTTTGTGTGCTTTGTGTCTTTTGTTTGTTTTGCTTTTGTTTGTTTGTGTTGTTCGCGTTTGTTTGTGTTTGTTTCTGTGTGTGTAGGTGTGTGTTTGCGTTTGTTTGGCTTGCTGGTTTGTTGCTTTGTTGCTTTGTTGGCGTGTTGGTTTGTTGGCGTGTTGGTTTGTTGGCGTATTGGTTTGTTGGTTAGTTTATTTGGTGGCTTGTGTTTTTTTTTGTGTTTGTTTGTTTGTTCGCTTGCTTGCTTGCTTGCTTGTTTGTTTGTTTGTTTTTTGAGTGTGATTGTTTTGTTTGCCGGTTGTTGGTTTGTTTGTTTTTTTCTGTGTTTTTGACTATGTTGGTTGTTTTGTTTGATTGTTTGTTTGCTTGTTTGTTTGTGTGGTTGTTTCTTTGCTTCCTTCTTTGTTGTTTGTTTGTTGGTTTGCTTTTGTTTGTTTCTTTAATTGATTGTCTGCTTGTTTGCATTCGAATGTGGTTGTCCGTGTTTGCTGTTTGATTGTTTTTTTTTTGTTTTTTTTTTTTGTTTGCTTGCTGTTGTTCTTGTTTGCTTTTGTTTATTTTCGTTTTTTTGTTTATTTATTTGTTTGTTTGCTTGCTTGTTTTGTTGTTTGCCGATTTGCTTCTTGTTGAATGCGCTTGCTTGCGTTTGTTCGTTGGTTGATCGTTGTTTGCTTGTTTCTGTGTTGTTTGTTTGTTTGTTTGTTTGCTTGCTTGTTTGTTTGTTTGTTTGTTTGTTTGTTTGTTTGTTTGTTTGTTTGTTTGTTTGTTTGTTTGTTTGGTTGTTTGGTTGTTTGTTTGTTTGGTTGTTTGTTTGTTTGTGTCTTTCTTTCTTTCTTTCTTTCTTTCTTTCTTTCTTTCTTTCTTTCTTTCTTTCTTTCTTTCTTTGTTTGTTTGTTTGTTTGTTTGTTTGTTTGTCCTTGAGACCTTGCGGGGTTCCAAAAGAAGGGGCCACTCCGTGGCAGTTGATTGGGGCGTCCCTAGTGAGGCCTTCTCCCCCCGCATGGTGCATAGATTGTTTTTCGAACGCGTGAGACCTGGAGAAAAAAACATACAGGATCCTGATCACCTGCACACCGTACGTGTTGTACAGCCCCCTTCCCCGCTATCTGATGAGACTGGCAAAGGGTGTCTCCTTGTGCTCCAGGGCTTGCTTCTTGCCGGCAGGTTCGGGCGCTGGCTCCGGGCTGGGGTCTGGCTCCAAGGCCCTCTTCTTGCCGCGAGGCTCTGCGTGCGGAGGCTCTTGCGGCAGAACCGGCGGGGGAACTGGAGGGGGGACGGGGGGCACTGGTGGCGGTGGGACCGGCGGGGGTGGTGCCTGAGGCTGCTCAGGCTGCACATCGACGTGCAGGATGCCATTGATTGCATGCTCCTTGTCGATATCCACCAGCTCCTGGTCACTAGATTGCTCTCAGACCCTGACCTTGCATTCCAAAACAAATGACATTTCACCAGCATAGGCCCCCCAACTTCAAAAATTGGATTTGAAACAACCGTGAGGGCACACCTTTCAAAGCCCTGGTGTCCCAGGGTAGTAAGAGCAACCGCGCCCCGGCAACAATAGCAGCAAACAGCACCCTCCAGACCCTACCCTTGAAGTTGGAAACCCCGCTGCATCTGAATGCTGGCCCAGATGGCCCAGAACCCTGCAATTGCTTGGAAGCCACTCCCTCGAAGACACAACAGACTGGTCCGCAATCGCCAACTCTCCCCCACATGGCAAAAGCTGAGGCCGCTCTGGGACAAACTCAACATCACCACCTCCAAAAACAAGATCAGGAAAACAACAGCCCAAACCCGAACCAAAATAAACAAAACAAAAGAAACTTCCAACACTTCCAACCCTGGTTGCTTAAGCTTCCAGGAGTCGAGTCCCAGTCTAGTCATTGGGTGAGCTACAACTTTTGTGACCCTGGCCATGTCCGACTCTCTTATCCCGTGGGTGACATCACAAGAACTGCAAGGGGTTGGCAGGAGGAAATGTCTTTGCTCATCACGTGCCAAATTATGCGAAACAACCCAGCCGACGATTGTTCAGATCCGGAACAAGGCATATCATGTAGGCACAACTCTCAAATGCAAGTGGTGCGACCTTGACACCATCATCAACTAGTTGTTGCTTTTTTTGGAGGGGGGCATGGGCCTATGTAGATTCACGCTTTTTGGCAAGGTCCGTTCGCTCCTGCGAGGGCGGAAAGTCGCTCCCCGCCAGCTTCACCGTGGTGCGATCATCTGCCCACTTGCACTTGCTGAGCCTTAGAGGGCCATGGCCGGCTTTCACTCTCGAAACAGCTTCCTGTTCGGGGTCCCTTCAGCCGAGAGGCCTGACTCATGAGGGCACCTCCTTAATTTTAATGTTTGTAGGCGCTTTCAAAGGGAAGGAAGCACCCGCCCATCAACAAAACGAGCCTGCTAGCAATGCCCGACAAGTCTGTGAGAAAAAGGAGGGGGAATGAACCCGCGGAGCTTGCAAAGTCTGCGGGCCAGTGGCAAAGCTTGGAGCAGCTCCTCTCCTTTGAGGCGCTTGGGCACGAGCAGCCGCTTGATCTTGTCATTGGGCCCATGCAGCATCACTGGCACACGCCCAGGATGTTGCTGCCGCAAAGCCGCGCAATCCATGGCTCGTTTGATATGTACAAAGCGCTGGCTTGGGGCGGCAAGTGCTGGAAAGGCAGCGGGTTCCGACCGCGGGCATGTCATGGAGTGCGCTAAAGCAAGGAATCAACCGGCCATCATACTTGAGTAGAATCCCCATGAAAAGCTTTACTTCACCAGGAATCGGCTCATACCAAGGGGATGGGCCAACCTCTGTATCCAGCCATCTGACCTGTTGGATTCGCAGAACCCAGCATTCTCCATAAAAAAACAGCACGCCCGTTCGCAGGCTTGCAGGCTTTGCTGCTGAGTAGGGCCACCAAACATCAACTCCTGGCCCAGGAAGAAACAACGGCAGCGCCCCTCGCCCCATGCACTGGGCAAGCCGTGGCGCGTCGTAGCGGAGAACCGCGCGCTGGTTGGCCACGAGTTGGCCCCGCGTCGCCGCAGCCTTTGGGCTCGAAGGGCTGGCGGCTGGAGGGCTCCAAGATAGATGGGGATTGCCTCAAAATGATAAGGGAGAACCTCCAGGCTGATGGACCAGAAGACGGAGCTTGAGTGAAACAAAGCATGAGTAGGTTGGAAGAATCCAAAAGGTAGTGCGTTGGATCACGTCCGCGACGCCCCCAGCACCCTGACAAAAATGCCTTGAACTCGCCGAGATTAACAGTGGTTCCCAAATGTTCATGGAGCTGGCTCCCCTGCACTGAAGTGTCACAGCATGTTAGCAAACATCCGAAGCTTCGCACCTTGGGCACTGCAAATTGTGACTCGGGCAGTGCTATTTGCGGCCCAAGCCGCCGCAGTTACCCAAGGGTGCAGGGTGACAGAAAAAGGCTTCCTGGGCTGGCAGATCAACGCAGCTCGACTCTTCGGCAAGCGGGCAACAGCGTCGGATCTCCGTGCAGCGTATGGCTCCCTTCGGCGAAGGGCAGCTGAGAACGAATGCCAATGGCCGAGTCCCCCTCCATGGACTCGAGCCCCACAAAGGCGTTCTCATAGCCCGCGGCTGGCCTCCAACACTTGCACACCGGGAGATCTTTTGGAGGTACAGCCACCATGGTCTGCCAAGGTAGGAGTGAAAGAAATGGTTCTTCAGATTGTGCCGGCTCGTCTTCCCGCTGGCAACTGAAAACTTGGCACATCCAGGCATCTCGACTCAAATGTTGCATTGGAAATCAAAACCGCTAGCCTCTGCGACTCTCCCGTGAAACCATCCCCACAGGTCGCAACCCAGCTTCTGAACCCTATAGGATTTCTCTGAGCAGCTGCGGGAACGCGGCGTACATGAAGTGAATGCGGCCATCCTCGGGCGACGGCTCGAACAAAGGGCCGAGGCCCGTAACGCCCTCCAAGCAGCTTCAAGGAGTAATATGATCTGGACGCGGTGGTTATCATCCTTTGCAAAAAGTGTGCTTTGATAACTTAAGAGAAAAGCCTCGGTTGCTGCATCCAAACTTGGAGTTCAGGGCTTCAGGGCAAGGGTCTTAGGGCTTAGGTTTTCAGGGGGCCTCAGCTTTCAAGGAGCTGCCAGGGTGTATTTTGGCCTTTTTTGTCGCATAACCGCGGAGCAAGCGCAAGTCGATCAAGGACCCACGCCCCAAATTGCAAACCAAGCCTCCCGACACAAGCGAACCTCAAAGGAAACCAAGTCAGAGCCAGCGTTGTGGATGGAGCCTTTATCAAAGAAAGACATGTCCGTGAACTGGACGATGGCGCACCCGCCGGTGTCAGTCGATTCACCAGCTGATATCCTGAGGCAATTCCACCAAGCTCCCAGCCCCAGCCCTCAGAACAACATGATCACTCCCACGCACTGCAGCTCAGACCCACCAAGCTGAAACAGGGCGAGTGGGAAAGTAGATGGCCGAGACTCGTGCAAGTTCCACACACCAGGTCCCACGCGAAGGGGGCCACGATCCTCGTAGCTCTGAGGGCATGCAGGCTCGGGATTTGGGTCAGTGACTCTCGCGGGCCTTCTTGCATGACCAAATCTAAACTTAAATGCTTGACATGTGTGCAGCCGCGTGCCGCCGAGCGTGACATGCATACATCGCCAAACTATCGAACTGCAATCGTTCACTGCACTCTCTCGGCAGTCTGGGCAACTGAGCACCAGGCCCGTTGGGCTGCTGCGGGTTCCTCGCAGGGCTTGTGAGCCCATCAAAGCAGCTATCTGGTGAGGAGATGTATTGAACAGGGGCCGGTACGGATGCCCATTAGACGGTAGGGTAGGAGCAAACAGGCATTTCGTCGCTTCATCCTGCCTCTGGAAGGGCAGGGCAAAGCGCACGGCTCCAGATTCGGCTGCGTCAAAAGCCAGGAATCCGTTGGAGCACACCCAAACCTGTTGCCACAAGTCGTGGCCAAACGCCCCGGCAGAGCTGGAGGAACAGTTCTGGAGTAGTGGTCTATACGGCGGCCCGTCAAAAAGATTCGTGGTAAAGAGTGTGGCTCGTCGGCCCCCAAGTCTCATGGCAAGCTTGAGAACACTCCCCAGCAGGCACTGGCCTCATCAAACATCTGCCCGTAGAAGGAGAAGCTGAAGGGAAGCGTGTAGAGAAACTTCCCATCATCCACATTCAGCTCCGGGAAGAGGCCTCCGGCATTCGATTTGGCTGATTTATTTTTAGAAGAATGCACGGATTGATGGATAGACGCGTCAGAAAACATGTGCATGGATGATGCCGCCAGAGCGAGCGTGCAAAGGCAAGGACAGCGCAACAGTTGATCTCAATGCCTAACAAATTCGCGTGGCTCAAGGAAGAATTCCCACCTCTTTACGGAGCCCCGAGATGGCCCAGCCTATCTCAGAGCCCTCTGGCAATTCTGCCCAGCTGAACCCGCTGCTGCTGACGGACGGCGTGTAAAAGCCTTGGCGCTTCCAGGTCTGAAACAAATCGAAGCCGCCCCATCACAAGGGTTAGACGACAACATTTTGTAATGCTCGGACACCAGGGCAAGTTCCAAGCTAACCACAAGCTGGCAAGGCTTGAAAAGGGTCATTTCGCAGTTGCTGTCGGCAACCCTCCCACAAACATGGAACCTGAGTAGGTGTCTTTCAAAGAAAACCGCTTTATACAAACTCTGGGCGCGTGAGTACACAACTCCAAGGCCCCTTGCCTCCTTTGCCAAGGGGCTGTCTTGGCTCGCGCCGAAGGATAACCTCGGCTGTCCTTCCCAAGTCAAGCTTGCGCTGCCGAGGTTGGAGATGCTGATTTCCACCTCGGAGCTGGCGCTGTGTGGCGCGCTGCAAATGCCGGGCAAGACAGGCCCAAAGAGACCCACCCAACCTACAGCAAGCCAAAACAGAACATGTTACGCTGAAACAAGCGCATGGTAGTGCAACCGAAATCTCTCTCTCTCTCTCTCCAGCATCCTCGAGGTCTCGCTCTCCTTGCAACCGAAATCACAACCCAATTACCCCACCCTGATCCCTAGCAACAGCATCACCTACTCTTGTCATTTGATCTGATGGCCTGGCCATCTGTCTGCCCCTTTTCTGAGGCAATGAAGCAAGCTGCGGAAGCCGGCGGTGCAGTCGGTGGCCGACTGGTGTACACTCGCACCTTGCATCGCGGGCGTGGAGACCTCTGGAAACTCTTCTTCCCATTGCCAGACCTTATCCGATCCGCTGGTCCCCAATCAAGGCCCACGCCATGTTTTCAACCTGTGCCAATGTCACAAGCCGTGAGCTGTTGATCGAATTGACCGAATGAGAATCATCAAAATCAGCAACGCGCTGCATGAGCGCTGCATGAGCAACCATCATGCACAAAACCCGCCCGCTCCGGTCAGCTGAAGCCTCACTTGATGCGTATGCCCATCCCCAGTTCCCACTGCCAAACCTTTGTAGGGTGCTTCAACTGACCAAAGAAATTATTCGCCCAGAAAGCTTCAGGTGAACCCCATCTGCCCAGGCGCCGGGGCCCAACGCAGCACCACCCGCGGAAGCCGCACCGCCAAGTCTTCGCCCAGAGCCTGGCTTTCCCCATAGCGCGGCTTTCCAGGAACCAATGCCAAAAAAAAATCTGAACCGCACTCGAGGCAAGCTTGCATCGCTGAATGTCGCCGTCTTTGGGAACTCACCATCGCCACTGGCATGTGGTGCACTTTAGCTGAGGCTTTCCGCAGCCGAGTCAGCCGAGCACACTTGACATGTGGCTGCCACAGGTTCGGGCTCCAAACTCCCCTGTGCTTCGGAGGGATCCATTTCCATGTGGGACATATGTCGACAGTGCGCGCCTGCGTCACCATGAACATTGGAATGTCAGGAACGTCCCCGCCCTTTGGCATGGCCAGCATCGGTGTGGTAGTCGGCCCCTGCGCCAGACAAATGTTGAGCTCCAGACCGTCGCCAAGGGATCTGAACATCTTAACTGCTTATTAATAATTGTTTGGCCTGCAGCCAGAGACCACCCAAAGGCAGTTAGTGGTGGCCTCTCCCGTCCGCATTTTGCCATCCGGTCATAGGGTCCCCCCTACACTTTTGGGCACAATTCGAATACGCCCACTAAAACAGCCCATTTTCAACATTCAAATTCAATCACCCAACCAATCCAACTCCAAAAAACACATATTCATATACCCATCTTCATTTCTTACCCCATCTCAACATCACCCTTACACTCATTCAATAACAACAATCATAACTACATACCACCTCAACAAATCCCACCAAAAAAACCCAAGCTACATACCAACATTTTTCCATTCCCAAGATCGCAACCCCAAGATCTCAATAATTTCTCCCTTGATCCAACCTGAGACCCTTTCCCATTTCCAACAAATACGAACAGTCTAAAAACAGAACCCTATGTTCGCCCCGAAAAATGGTTAACCAATGGAAAAGGGAGAATTAAAACCGTTAACCCAAATCTTGAAAATAATCCAGTAAAATATGGATGGCAATATGCGGATCGGGAAAGGCCTATGTAGGAAAGCACCCCCACGGCTTACACGGGAAAATTAAACTAAAATTACAACATATAAGATCTTATATGTTGTAACTATAGTATAATCAAGAACTGAAACATTCATCTCAATAATAGCTAGCCGTGCTTTCATTATCGCTAAATTCTTCATCCTCGTCATACAAGTCTTCCGTGCTTAATGTATGATAAAATCGGATATGCCATTCTGCCTCTGTTCTGAATGGCATCATTTCCAACAGTGCTCTCTGGAGCCCGTCCTGAGCAATGCCTGTGACTTCCGAAGCAACTGCCCTAGCCTTCCGAAGCAACTGCCCTAGCCTTCCGAAGCAACTGCCCTAGCCTTCCGAAGCAACTGCCCTAGCCTTCCGAAGCAACTGCCCTAGCCTTCCGAAGCAACTGCCCTAGCCTTCCGAAACAACTGCTCTAGCCTTCCGAAGCAACTGCCCTAGCCTTCCGAAGCAACTGCCCTGGCCTTCCGAAACAACTGCTCTAGCCTTCCGAAGCAACTGCCCTAGCCTTCCGAAGCAACTGCCCTAGCCTTCCGAAGCAACTGCCCTAGCCTTCCGAAGCCATTGCCCTAGCCTTTTCCTTCAGACCTTCAGAATTTCCGATCTCAAATAAGCACGAGTCACACCTTGGACATAATAATAGTCTTGTCCAAGTTTTCGTTCAATCCTTTCAATTGTGAACTTGTTGGCTGACCACGAACTCGTTCTCTCCTTCTCACTGATTCCCTTTTTGCGGTATATTTTGACCTCATCGCCAACCCTAACAGGGGGATATTTACGGGTTTTGATTCTGTTCATCTCAAGCTTCATCTTGACCTCAAGATGGTTTCCCTTTTTGTGGGCATCGTTTGGAGTCATATCGTGGGCAGAATGAACCATTTTACTGTTGTATGTCAGCATGATCTCGGGGATATAATCAATCCATTGTATATTAACCTTTCCCTTTTTCTCGTCTGCATCAACCCTCTTGAAAAGCATGTCCTTGAACGTGCGGATGAAGCGCTCAACAAAATGAGGGTGCCCTCTTGTTTTGTAATTCTCTATTTGTTGATCCTTGAAAAAGTCAACAAGATCCTGATTGTTAAGACTCCCTTCGTCATCAGAGTAAATGAGGTGGGGCTTCCCGAGTTTGTTCAAACCTTCCATTATCCCAGCAGTGATGTCGGCAGGTTGCTTTGACATGATAGGCATCACCGCGGCTTTACGGGAGAAAACATCAATAAGAACTAAACCTATACTAAATTTTTGAGTTTGTAAATCATTTTTTGAAATAAAGAACAAATCAAGCTGAAATTCATACAGAACATGTGGAGCGATGAATGAGTTGTATCCGGATAGTTGTTTTTTCCTTTGCACATTCTCTTCAAACCACTCCTTAACATCTTGCATTGTGATGGAAGGATCCTTTTTCTTACTGTCTACTAGAGTTGTTTTTAAAGAACCAAACCCCGCACGATCGTAATACACATTGGAAATTATATCATCTTTGTTAGAACTACTCATTATAATAAAGAAGATATTTTAATTTTCTTGTTCTACTTGTGGTTCTTGTTCTGGCTCTTGTTGTTTTAACCATTGCTGATGCTTCTGAGATTTGAAGTGTCTTGCCTTGACATTCCACACACAAGAAGCACCACAGTCACAATGGAAGGGTTGCTTTTGTTGCGCCAAATATTTTTCTCGGTTTTGTTGATACCTTGCCCTACTTTTTTCGTTGACCTCATCCTTGTTCTGTTGATACCACCGGCTGTGTCTTTCACGAATTTGTTCTTTATTGTGTTCAGTGTATCGTTTGTCCTTTTCTTTGTATCTATCAATGTTGTTTATTCTGTGCTCCTTTTTCTCTTGCAAAAGCCTTTCACGGTTGTCATGGTAGAATTCCTTGCGTGACCTTCCCACAACATTTTTTATTTACACACATATCAATTTTATTTAAGATTTCAGTTCCTTCCTCTCTTTCTAATTCTGCTCTACTCTTACAAGGGAAGTCTTTGATTAATAATATCTTGCAATTATCCAGTCCGTATTCATCAAACAACATCATGGACCTTTCATACTTTCGCCCGCCTCCTTTGCAATAATCTTTGTAGCGCTCCCTGTGTCTTGCCATTCTGCGGCTTAACTCTTCGGTCGTTGATCCTATATAGCACTTGTTGAACCCTACGTCTACCACTTGATAAATCTTGCCGTTTTGATATTTGTTCATATCCTTATTTACCTTAAGATATCCATTCTTTAAATCTTTATAAACAACATATTTATCAATATGTTATTTTATCACTGAAGCATCTATTACAAGAAGCACAGAAGGCAATGACATTATCCTTTGTATGGGGAAGATCATTGCATAACCTTTGACAAGTCAAATTAGAGTTTATATTGCCAGAATCCATTGACAACACGAAACCACAGCCACAATTTGCACACTTTCCGTTGACATTGTCCTTCAACCATTCGGCATCCACATAATTGTCTTTTGGGATCTCAAATTTGTTTTTCCTATCCTGTTCCTTGTATGCTAACACCTTTCTATCAAAATAATTCATAATGCATTTTGCGTTAAACTCTTCATTTAAATCACTACTGTATTTGTAAAATTTTACTCTGTTTAAATCCCTTGCTCTAGTGATTGCAGTCCACAAAAACTCGCGAGTTATCAGATGATGGTTCCAGTCAAAAATGGTGACATCGTCATCAATGGAACACCCCTGAACAGAATGACAAGTATAACAGAAGGCAAAGATAAAATGACTTCTCAAGATACCAATATTTAGCGTGATCTCTTCTCGTGTTTTGATATTAGCAACGGTAATCCAAGGATCAGAAATATTAATTATCTCATACCTAAAATTCACATTTAACTTATAGGTTTTTGTCTTCCTATACTCTCTGCATATCATGATCTCGCCGACTTCAAACTCATTTTGTTTGCCCTGTCGTTTTCTGATCTGCCTTGAAACCTCTCTACAAGTGTTATTTAAATATGCGACATTGCTTTCTGTTCCTGTGATGTCATCAGTATATTTAAAATACTTATTGATGACATCATGTAGAGACAACTCATGCTCAAAGATGTCAGCATAAATACTTTTAAGTTTATCCTTGTCCTCCTGAGTCTTCAATCGCTTGCACTCTTCCAAAAACAAATGATGGGGAAAAATGCTATCAATACATTCATTCATATAAATCTCGTGTTTCTTAGTGTTAGTCAGTGCTTTTATGGGGCTCAATTGCTTGGCGTCACCAGTAGCTAATATGATTTTATTAGCCCTATGTTGCTCTACAAAGCCCTTAACTTTTGCCAACACAAAGGTATTATTAAAACAAATCTCATCAAACACAATGACATCAAACATCGAATGATCGTATTTATCTAGCTTCTCGTCATTGACTGCTATACTGAAGAATTTATTTACAGTGACGCTTTCCACTTCGCACTCCAAACCCAGATTATTGGTAGGAACCACGAACAACACTTTATAACCCTTGAGTCTCTCCATGTTCTTGCAGATGGTGGACTTCCCCGCTCCTGCGAATTTTGCCTTAATCATCAAGCACCTATATTTCTCAACAAGTTCAACCAATTCATTTTCATCATACTCATTAATGATGTTAACTCTCTTACTTTTGACAATCGGGATCTCAACATATTCACACTTCTTCTGTTCATACAACTGCTTTCCTGTATGATGGATCTCATCGTGAGTCTTGGCTAATTTCCACCCACCGATCCCATCGTGAAAATCTAGCAACTGCTGAGTCTTTCTCAAACCAAACTTATTAAAACCCGAACAGTCCACGACAAAAGCGTCGCATTTGACACTCAATACCTTAACATTGTTCTCTGTCAATTTTTGATATGCGCATTGCATTTTGAAATTATGATACTGCAATAGCATTTCTTTAATAAAACGAAACCCATTGGACAACTCGCACCTATCAACCACATTCAGAATATAATATAAATTGTCGTTTTGTTCAGATACTTCTCTATCACGGCACCACATGCCATTATCATCATATTCCTCAACCCACTTGGCAGTATTCCTGCTCATCATGTTTAACTTCCCCCCTGCATCTGCCTGAAGGCTGATCGCCTCATTGAGATCATTAAAAACGAATGATCTCTGACTACTGTTCTTACTTTTTTCCAACAAGCCAAAAATCGAGTTGGCTATTATTTTTTTAATTGCCTTGTCTTCTTCAATATTTTCGCTTATTCGCTTTCCCCAGAGTTCCTCAACCAACATTTTATTATCTACCTTGTGAATGAAATGTGGCTGTTTGTAGTGAGTAATGGACAACTCGCCAGATGCAACAAGTGGCATAAAATGCTTAAGAAACATACCATAAACTATATTAGTATCATTATTAAAAAACA